ACTAACATCAATCTTCGAAATATTATACCACTAAGAAATATGATGATCCCGTCGTAAAGGTCCGGCTAACAGGCATAGATTACTGTTGGATATTGAGTGGCAATGACACTGTTTCATCGTAGGAAATTCAGTACGCATCAATGCTTATTTTTCATTCTTTCAATTTGTTTGTCGCGTAGCATTTAACGTGTACCATGTTTATACGAGTGGATAAGAATAATAAGGGAATCATGCATCATTTTGGACATGTATTCTCGTTAATGGTCATTGCTTGGATGTTTACAAGAATAACATTCTGCCAAGGATCTTTCTGTTTTTCATTCGTCGAAGATCACACAGAGAAATGTTTACAACAAATTATGTCAAGAAATAGGAACTCCATAACTTTTGTGTAACTTTTGCCGAATAGTAAATTTCACTAATAAATTATGTAGGTCATTATGTTAAATAGAAACTTAAATTTTGTTAGTAAATATTACCTAACCAAATGTTTAACAAAATTTATGTAAAGGCATTGATTAAAATGCCAAATGTGAGATGCATGGCCCTACATGTTATCAGCGCCTGTGATATGGTGTAATATTGATGCCCTAAAACAATTTCGCTTAAAAAATGATCATAAATTGCCCCCCATACAGCAAAAATATTTGAGTGACCGGCTTTACCATACTCATTTTCCCCATTAGACTGTAGTGTTATAAAACCGTTAGGAAAACGCCTTTTGATATTTCGAATTCCAGTCATAAATATCTTGATAATCAGATGGGCTATAGTCATGGGATTCCCGAATGACCTAAAGGTTTAATTTTAATTATGAATGCAGCATGAGCTAATTCCAGGATTTTGTTTAGAATCTGAGACAAAAATACCCAATCCCTGTATATAGGAACTCCATAACTTTTGTGCAAATTTTACCAAACAGTTAATTTACCAAATATTATGCAAATCCTTGTTTAATATAAACTTCAATTTTGTAAACATTACCTAACCAAATATTCTATTAAATGTATGTAAAATATTATGTTAGATAAGAGGACTTCAAATTTGTGTGTAAATTTTACCTAACAAACAATTCTACAAATATTATGAAAAATGCTAGGTCAAATACAACTTTAGAACTTTGTGTAATTTTTACCAAACACAACATTTTACATAAATGATGGAATATGTTGTTTGAATAAGAGCTTACAAAGCCTTAGCATTTATATTTCTTAACCACTCTATATATGGAAAAATGAAATATGTTTATGTAAAACATCTGAACCATTATGTAAAATCATCAGTGAGTTTATGTATATGTGTGCAGAATGTGATATCACCTCAAACTGTCTTGCAAAAATACCCGATATTTTCTGTCAAGAAATAGATAGTAGTATAATATATAGATGTATATATAATTATAAATTTGAAATATATATATATATATATATATATATAAATGGGTATTTTATATCTAGGAAATTCCCAACATATACCAGGTAAACAACTTTTAAGTAATGATCAATAACGTCAGATGGGAGGTGTTACATTAATTAATGTAATACTGCAAGAAAAATGTGTCACATGCACAAGTCAAATATTTGACAAAGAAACCAAGTACTGTTTATTGTTCAGTATTTATTTTAACAAATGATGTTCCTTGATAATAACTCATCAGGTAGAAAAGAAAAACTGTTCCTGAAAGTAATTTTTCAAGTTGCGTCTTAATTTGTTATGGCAAAATTAAAAAGCTCAAAGATGAACAATCATAACTTCTTTATAAAAAGGATCCTGAAATTGATAAATTTCTTCAAATAGAATGTAATAGCAAACATAATTAAATGGTCTCCATTGAATGATTGTTTAAAATAGCGCTTGAATAAATAAAATGATCTTATCTGGAATAGTTTTATTACGTTTCACAACTAAGATGACAGACTGCATTCCAGCTTTTTAATTATCGGGAAGGGTAATCCAAGTAAGAAAATAGTTGCACTGAAGGGAGCTCTTTTCATTGATATGACTTTACACGGAACCCTCTATATAGTGTACATAGCAATGATTTTCTAGCATGCCATAAATAACTGTCTGAAATTAGCAAAGATCAGATTTGAAATTATATTGATCACAGAAAACCACAGGTGTCAGAATAAGGAAGCCCTTTAACCCCTACCCCGTATTTCTCCACATGAAAGACCCCCCTCCTGCCACTGCAATTTTTGTTATCATGTGTTACCATTCCTACATTACTTTCATATGCATGAACAAGATCTGAAACTTGTTTATTCTTGTCAGAATGTTTCAGGACACTTGGCATATTTGACCAAGAGTTATAAACCCCTCATTAATGTGTGCCCCCTATGGTGCCCCCCCCCCTTTCTACAAATCTCAGTTGGATTTTAGTACTACGGATGAAAGGTTCTTATAGAGTTAAAGTGCTAACAACTGTTGGATCTTTTCTTCCCCTTGTGCCTTTTCAAAGTATACATACAAGCAATTAAAAAAATAGAAATAGATTAATTAAAGGTACTTTCATTCTAATTAGGGACTTCAAATAGAACTTCGAGAGAAAGAGAGTCATGATTTCTTGGCATATCTTACAGCCTGAACTGAACATTATCTCGATAACCTTTGGAAGCAATGTGCCATTGTATATAACTGTTTCCAAAGTATAAAATGGAACACCCAAACTGATTCGACTATGATTACAAGATGTCTTACAATTAAAAGCACCAACAAAAAATGATCAAATTGAGTTGCAAGAATTACTGAAAGGTTCTTAAACTCGACTGTTCTCAACAACGTGTGGAAAAAGTTGGCACTGCACAGCGCTTAATCAAAAGAACCAAAATCATTAGAATATAATATGATTAATTACTTCTTCTTTTTTTCGTTGTTATCAGCGACTTCAAACATAGTATCTAGAGAGTCTTACATTCTTGACACGTAACCTGGGTGGAGAGTGGAAAATGTTGATTAATGTCTAGCCAAAAGACGTCGAATTACAAACATACACAAGCGTCCCAAACAGTAATCAGTTTGCCGACTTTAACCGCATACATGTATTTATTCACTCATTCGTCATTTACTTTTGGTTGTTGGGGACAATCAAGCTCGCAATTAAACAACCATCCATCGTGCATAGTCATCTTTATTTCACATTTCATACAGTCGTCACAAATATTAAAAGGAGGCGTATTAAACCAACAACAGAAGAAAAAAAATCATAATTTATTCTGATCAAGATGAACGAGTGTGTTGATTGCCCCCCAAAACAAAAACGCTCCCACCAGACAAGTTCAGGCTGTGCTGTAGCAATGTACATCGCAAAGCATCCATAATGATAGGAAAGATAATACCCCGCCTGTTACGACGCAAAACGGCGCGGGAAGAATAGATCGCGTCGCGAGAAGAATACATCAAGTTTTTACAAACAATGGGATGTTTATCAGAACGAGAACAAGAAGAGGGGAAGACAGGTTTTGGCTGACAAATACTTTCTGTATAACAAGTTTAAGCTGTACCGTTGTGCATCGCGCATCACGAGCGAGAACAATGACGGGAGAGATAATCTTCCATAGCCTGGTGGGGCGCGAAAGGGCGCACGAAGAATAGAGCGGGTTTATACCAACAATAGACAGTTTCTTTTCATATGCAAGAATCAGATGAGGGTAACTGTCGCGCCCCTTTGTGCCCCTTTGCGCCCCTTTGCGCCGAAATGCGTCTCTTGAGACGCGACCTTTCTATTCATCGCGCCCCGACGCGTCCGGGCACAGTCGCAACTTTGGCAGGCCCCCTACCCTTACTAGACACCTACCCGGAAATGTTGAATTTAAGGGGCAGCGCCCCAACCCCTTTTTCTTCCAACCAGTCATTAAATAGGGGTATTTTCAAGCCTTTTCCATTCCGTATGAGTGCAGTGGTTTAGGTAATTTTGTGTACGCAAGTTATGTGATAATTTTAAATTCATTTCTATCACGTGTGTACTGTTAATTTTGGTAACTAACTATTCATATATCAATCCATGTATAATAATAAATTTAAAACCATACAAGAAAGGTTTCGCTTTCACGAGATTAGAGTCTATGTTGACCAAAAGTGTTGTGGTATTGAGGATACATCACCAAAATGTGGATCACATGGTTCGTGGTTCGAGTCCCGTCGCGGCAGTAATGTCCTACGGCAAAACACTAATCTACATTTGCCACACTCCACCCAGGTGTAGTAAATAGGTATCTGGAAGGAATTTATCCTTGAATTTGCTTTAGCCTTAGAGCAGCAGGCTAAAGCCGTGGTAGTAATAATATTATGTATAAGCGCCTTGAGGTCAGTAAAGTAAAGTGAATGCCTATGCTAACAAAAGTTTTTAAAAAAAAGCAACCAACAAATACAATCTAAACTTTTTGATCGCATGAACATGGTATATATCAGTTTGTGCATTGTCCAAGTTTTAAATTTGACAGCTTGTTTGTATGCTTCTGTTGGGCAAACAACGAGTAGTTGACATTCATCTCAAATACCCTTTGTGTCCTTACTCATGACTGGTTTGTTAACTCATGTTTCGTGCTTTAAAAAATATATGTAAGCTCTTAAAGAGAAGGTTGAGTTCTGGGAAGAGGTGAAAAATAATTTGTGAGCATTACTCATTCTTATTATGCAAGTGTGGAAGAACATCAGTTAAGACATGTTCCCTGAAAAGCTTGGCTCTTCAAATGCCTTCATATTCTAAATATACATGTAACATCGTAAAAATCGGGGGCCGGCTTTTTACGCCACGTGTTCGTGTAGTCCCATATACATCTTTCTGTGCAAGTGTTTGTAACTTTACCAAGACTTGGCCACATTTCTTATCATTTTGATGATTCCAGAACCTTGCAATACACACAAATTCTTATATGCTAGATGATCAACCTTTTCTGGTCGGTTCCACACCGTTTCTTTCACAATGCAATCGCATGACCAGAACTCAACTTCATCTTTAATATGCAAAAGAGCTTCACAATTATTCTTTTTATTAACAGCCACTACTCAGGCACCCCCTAGAACACTGCAGGTGCGCTTGGTGAATGGCAACACGTCCAATGAAGGTCGTGTTGAGGTCCTGTATAACGGAACTTGGAGCACCATCTGTGACGATTCCTGGGATCTGCCGGATGCTCATGTGACCTGTCGTATGCTGGGCTATCCTGGGGCGCAGAGTGCTCTCGCCAGTGGTTTCTTTGGCCCGGGTGAAGCAGGTATTCTTCTGGACGATGTGGAATGTATCGGAAATGAAACGAGTCTTGAGGATTGCCAACACCCTGGGTTCTATGAGCATGATTGTTCCCACAGTGAAGATGCGGCAGTGGTCTGCAGAGGTAATTTATTCTCAATTTGTTCAATACTACATCTCAGATAACAATACGATGTTGGGCCAACGTTGCCATTTTTTCACTGATAAATGATGAATATTGGTTGGCTATACGACGTTGGGCTTACGTTGGCTTAACGTTGGGATATGGCTCATGGTGGGAAAGGGGTTTGCATAGCATTTGCCCAATTTTGGCCCGACGTCAATTTGTCGCTGTCGAGCCAAAGTTGGCCCGCCGGCCAAAAAGACGTTGGGCCTACGTAACATCACACGTTGGCAACACGTTGGCACAACGTCGTATTGCTATATGGGATGTAAGCCTGAGATTACTGTGTCTGGGACCTATAGGATGGTGAGAGGTGCTATGGTGAAACAGATAGTTTTCTCATATAAGTACAATAAATTGTCTGCATGCATCATGCTACTAAAACATGCCTCTGTGCTTATAGCATGTAGCTGCAGCACACAGATGACTGGTAGTGCAGCCTCTGATCTTTGATTCTGATTCTACAGGAAGCTACTACCCATTGTTCTTTACCCTGGATGTTCATTCCATATGTTTAATCACATGTGTTATTGCGTGAAAAGCGGGAAAATGTCTTAGACAAGTTTTTCTTGAGAACTGTAGCTCAGCCTGTCATTAACTTCTCTGTATACTTTAACAGTTTTTTGCTGGGCTAAGAGAGTTTTTAGTCCAGCCATTTCCCGGGCTCTCTTCTGTGTTCACACCTGGTTTTTCGAAAGTGGGCTAGTACCGCAAGTCCACCGTTTAAGCTGGCCCTGCCTCCGAGTAGGGTCAGCGCGGCAACGCGACTGTGAATTCTTATTATTATTGGTAGTATTAGTAATAGTAGTAGTAGAAGTAGTCGTAGTAGTAGTAGTAGTAGTAGTAGTAGAAATAGTAGTTGTAATTTTTATATAATTATTAGCCATTGATATCATGTGATATTAAACCTAACCTTTTACACTCTGAAACATTCTTTAAAAAGTTCACTTTATATTGGTATCAAAATGAACTCCCAGAGTCCATCCGCTTAGCAATTAACTTAAATATGTTCACTGAATCAATAATTCAATCATACCCCCACCCTTTCTAGTTATTTACATGTATTTATTTGTTAAATTTGCATTATGTCTTTCTTTTTGTAATATGTATTTGTTTTCTTAACCTTCACTTATTTTAATGTTATGTATTGTTATTGTTTAATTTTGTATTGTATCTGTTTATTCATATGTAGTTTAATGTTCCATGTACGGACAAGCTGAAAAACAACTATGCCCAGCTGAAAGCATGTTTTGCAATCACCGTATTTAAATAAATTAACAAACAAAACAAAAACAAAAACGGAATCGTAGTGGAATGCTTCCCGTATTTACAAAGCCAAATCTAATTATCTGCATAGGACAGATAGAAATTGCCAGTCTGCTTATTTATTTCCTTTTTTCAATACAGATTACTTTGTACTAGCTGGGTATAATACGCTTAGCAAATAAAAAGCACATCTTCATTTTTTATTTGTTTGTTTGTTAACTTCATTCTGTTTGTTTTTCTTTACTAGTTGTTTTAATTACTGTTAGGGACGGTATATTCGGAATTTTTCAGATTTTTGTCAAAGATGTTATTAATCGTTCCTGTAATCAAATTTGTAAACATTTTCTCACAGCTGGGAGTGCACAAGCTGTTTATGCATTTAAAATAGCAGATTTATTTACAAAAGCTTGTCAAAGCCTTTGTTAAAACAGTGCTTTGCGATTTAAAGTATACTTTAGGCCAACAGTTATGCTAAATAAAGTATGGGTTAATGTATGTTTCTGAAAAATCCTCATGCTACCAGGCAAGCACATCTCCGTGAAAAAACATACCAGCAGGAAATAGGATTCTTTATATCATTATAAGTAGGTTAATCGATGATAGGCGTCGGGTATCATAGCCTGACTTAGTTCATAAACGATGATCCTATAAACAGCTATCCACGGTTAATACGTATATTGTTTCAGCCAGTTCGAAGAATCCCATCTTTTTTACCGTGTAACAGGGTACTAAACATAATGCTTTCCTTTCTTATAGGCCAATGTATGCACCCCTTTCAGGTCATAATCCTCTTGAAGGGCTAAAATTAGTAACTGCATACACAGTCTAGAGTAGAGTCACAGATCCATATGCTATTTTGCACACATTACACAAGAGTCACAACAAAATATTTAGTTAGTGGGGCTGAAGATAAGATCTTGATCACATGGCTCAAAGCTTGAAACAGTCTGTTAATTCCTCAGTTTCCCCGTTATGTAAAAAATTCCTCCCATGGTACCAGTAAGAACTTGAGACAAATTAAATATTGCTTGGTTTGCTAGAGGCTAAATAGACGAATAAGGAATAACAGTGCAAAATACTTCGTGCGTTCTTCAACTTACAGTGATTCCCAATAGCGATATCGAAGCTTGCATAAAATGCCCGAACCCCGCCCGCCCCATCTTTCCCCGCCCACACTCCCTCAATTTCATATTCTGATTGCTGAGATTGAGACTACAGAGAGAAAGATCAGAGGGAAAGAGGTGAGAAAGAGACACCCAGAGAGAGGGGGAGGAGAGAGAGGAAGAGAGAGAAATAGAGATGAAGATGATGAGACAGCCCTCTCCAGGACAGCGTTCACGCTTTTGGGAGAGTAATTCTTAAAGGTTCAAGGTTCAAGAGAGGAAGAGATGAGGAGAGAGATGAGCAAGAGAACGAGATAGAGAGGGAGGAAGTGTGTTAGAGAGAAAACGAGATGACGATGATGATGAGGGATGAAGAGAGAGAGAGAGGGGGAAGAGCGGGAGTGAGAGATGATGACGATGAGAGAGGGGGGAGAGAGAGAGAGAGAGAGAGAGAGAGAGATACGATGAGAGATGAGACAGACAGATAGAGAGAGGGGCGAGAGTGAGAAAGAGGTAGAAATAGAGAAAAGGAGATGATGATGAGGATGATGAATATGAGGGAGATGATGAGAGAAATGAGAGAGAGAGAGAGAGAGAGAAAGAAAGGAATCTGTAATTGGTATAGGCCTAGCCTTTTACTTAATCAAGTTGAAAAAAGGTTATCCTTTGATCGACAGTGGTTCGTGGACGGAATTTAAAGAAATCTCATATCCGCTATATAGTTATGCAATCCCTGCTAATATATTTAGATCACTGATCATACCCTGCTACCCTGTGATTTAAATGACATCTCTAACGGACAGCTCATCAATAGACAGAAGTAAACAGTTTTAAAAAACAAGTGTCACTGTAGATGTAAACCAGCTTAAAAGGGCAATCCAACATTTTTAATAAGCTCTTCAAAAGTAGGGGTACAAATAAGTGAAATAGAATAGCGAAAGTTTAAAATAAATAAGTGAGTTAGAAGTAACTAAGTTGGGAATGTTTGAAATGTTTTCTTATTAATGGTAATCAAATTTGAAATTATATAATGTTAAGTGTTAGAAATTAATTTAACTTAATTATCTCAATTTATTTAGGTCAAATAAAAAGTCTATGAATATTGTTGTTGCGCTTTGTGTTTGTTCACCTGCCATACATGATTGTTATTTTCTTCATGCCACAAAGTTCCACATACATGCAATCATTCTATTAGTTATTATGCTTAATGGATTTACTTGAATTATGTTATGTTTTTTCACCGTTACTTCTTAAATCTATTCGCATGTATGTAGCACCAGCGGACGTGGACAACCTCATGACGGAATGGAAATTCGTAATAGGTAATCCTCAGACGTCCGCTGGTGGCATTTTCACTGTCCTGTAATTCTCCCATGTTAAATCCTCTGTGTTGTAATTTTCTATTTTGTTCATACATGTACCTGGAAATTAAATTTAGAAAATTTATATTAATTAAAAAAAAAAATCACAAATTCTATGCGAATCTCACATTAGAAATGCAGTGATTAGTGACGTAGTTAATTCTCCCGTTCGTAGTGTCCACAATATTTTTTATTTGTGTTTTTCTCTTCAGTGGCTTTTACGCTTTGGGATATATTTAAAATATATTTTGGATAGCCTATTAGTATAGGTCATCTAAAAGGAAAGACCTTGATTAATACGTTAAAAAAAAGAAGATATTTGAGTAATTTGTTTGTGTTGAAACAAATGGAAGAGTTGTCCGCTACTACATTACATCAAATAGATACTATTTCTTTGATTACATTAACGTATTACCGATTCGTAACAAGGAACAAGGAACAAGAAATGTCAAGAGCGATTTTTACTCTTAATTAGAATTCAACTTTTCTTTAATATGCTTTACTTGCAAACACACACACGCACTACCCAACACATATATATATATATATTTATATATTTATATATATATATATATATATATATACACACACACACATATATATATATAACTTCCCTAACCTGTTCCAAAATACCTCTACTTGACCTCTCTCTTTATTCACCTCTTATTAATCCTCCCCTCTCATTCTCTCATCGTAACCAATGTATAAGATCTTTCCTTGACTGCACATGAAGACACAAATGCATTGAAACAAGTTGTACCGAAGTATACAAGTATAGTGTTAATTTAAAGTTTACAATATTACACACTAAAAGGATTGCACAACAAAGAAGGTACATGTTAGTTTTTTTTCTTCTTGTTATTTATGTTTTAGTAAACATATGTATCAACAGTATAAAAAAAGAAATGCAATGAATTTTGGTATTACATACAAGAGCCTTTTGTTGGAATGTTTGGAAATGTTATGTAAGACAAAGAACATCTATTACTTACACGATTGGAACTATTTTTGTTTTATAAATTCAAGGGCTATTTTGATACCCTACTGGAATATCCAAAAGAAATCAAGTTCGATTTTCATAAAACATAATAATATAATAATGATAATAATAATAATAATAGTCTGGATTTATATAGCGCTTAATACGAAATCCCGTCTCCAAGCGCTTTACAAATGTTATTTCCCCGGCCATCGGATCATTCACGCATAATGTGCACCATCTCTACTTCCT